CATATAGGTGATTTTTTAATGACTCAATGCAAAACAAACATTGATTAAATTTTTCATCATAGTTTTGTCAGTTAATAATACCTTTTACACAATATGGATACCTCACCTGTTAAATGAATGACAAGAAAAGTTAATTTTATTGAGCAGTGAATTCTCAGGTACTCGATTTGTAGTTGTTTAAATCAAATCAATTGTGGTTATCATCAACCAAAATTTGTTAATTTGAAGACAAAAATCATATGCACATTTATAATTTACACTTATGAGTCTAGTTTCACCCAATATGAAATGTCACTTAAAACACATACATAGTCACTAAAGTACAATGGATCAAAGCAAAACATATTTCTTATGATTAGTAATTTCTTACTTAACTATAAGAAAACTTTTCATTTGATAAATAATTTTGAGATGGTGGAGAAGATCTGTAACTTAGATAGATGATTTTGACAGAGTTTTTTTCTCTGAGTTGCATAGTTTGATCGTGAAGCTTTGATCATTCTTTTGAACGACATCATTATCACAAACTTCTACAATAAAAAGCTCCTCAACCAAACTATCCAGCTCAAATAACAATCTCCATCAATATAAATAATCTTTAATCTGATTTCTTTCACTAATGTAAGAGTAATCAACTCAATATTCCGTTAGAAATTTACAACTTAATTCAAATAATATCTTTTACAAATAGTCAAACATAAGATTTTCCAGCCAAAATATTCCATAAATCTTTTTAGTATTACGAATCAATTTTAGGTATCTTATGATTTCATTCAATTAAAAACGTAAGCAGATGTTGTCATATGCAATAAGCGCACAATTTTATGATTATGATTGATAAGAATAAGTTTTTCTATGTGTAATATGATCAAATGGTTATATTAAAGTGTATATTGTAAACATTTATAATGTGAACAAATCAATCAATCACTGTTTTACACATAAAGTGCTATTTGGTTCATGTCAAAACAGTGATATTTAGTTGTTTTTTTTTCAAATTCATTTCATCTTTGAACATTTTTCAATCAGGATTGACAACAAAGTAACATTTAACAAATTAGTTTTTGTTTTATAAAAATAAAAAGAGAACAATTATCTTTTTGTTTCTCAATCTGCAGATAGATCTTGGCATAGACTCAAATGTACTGTGGAATGAATAAAAGTATAACCTACACTGATTTCATTTAAATGATAACTTGTCAATGAGTATATGCCTTACTCAACATGCTATCTATTTTAGAACATTTAAAGTGAACAAATCACCACAAAACCTTAGATTGAACAAAAGCTAGCCTTAAGATAGATTTATAGAAATTATAGTTAGGCAGTGTGAATTAATAAGTAAGGTAATTTTTCATTAACATTATAAGGAAAGGTTATATGAATCATTTTTTTTATGTTTATTAAGTTGAATATTTGAAGAAATTACTAAACTTTACTAACCTTTTTCGAATTTTGAAGTGACTTTGATACTAAGATATATTTGACTGGTGCTATATTATACCGTATCACTAAGCCTGCCCGTTTTAGCGTTTTAAAAGATGACATAGTTGAGATCAACTCAACAATTTCCACAAAGAATAAAACATAGCAATCGTCTCTGTACCTTTAATTAAAGCCCCATGGATATACGTAGAACAGTTCTATAACCAGTTATCTGAAGACGTTCTTAATTTGCTAAGTCTCGAAGACGAGAAATAGCAGTCTCTATGGATCACTAGCAAACTTTTACCTAACGGTCTGGAATATTACCATATATCTTGGCACCGCTAAAGAAAATCTGCTCTACGAGCCGGTCACAAATACGTACATCATAACAATCCTTGGTCTTATATAACAATTAGCAACTTGACTTGTATACACTGTAGAACATTTTCTCTTAAATAAATTATGGGGCTAAAATACGTCAAATATGCCTGATTTAGCTAGACGAATGCGTTAAAAAAACACAAGATCATAACAAAACAAAGACTATGGACAACTACCTTGCAAAGTTTATTATATACTCTCAATAAACAACAAATTTAAAAGTAGTCTGTTACTACAGTTATTAACCAGGATTATGTAATAAACTCATTGGGCACTCCAGACCAGCAAGCCCGGGCGAGCCACAAACTTAGAGTTCGAAACAAATTACGACACTTATAATAGCTCTCCCCTTCTTTCCTCCCTGTGGCTAGCTCAGAAAGATATGAGAATCACTTTAACCCACCAAAAAGTATCCAAGAGGACATCGTCAATTTAGAGACCAATTTATCATAAAAAAACGTGATGTAACAAACTTAAAAAGAATCGGTAAAAAGATAACTATGAGCTTCCCATGAATACACCCTGCAATAAATAATGTACAGTACATCATCAGAAACGATTTATTGATAATTGTAAACCTTCTGTCGATAAGATAGAGCCGCACGGAGTTACTCGACACCCGAAAATCAGTTACTATAATGGACATTGATTTCAGAAAACTTTCCGATACGTAACTGCATACCAGGCCTCTAAAGAAGTTGGAAACTTGGGAATCACCTGACGCCTGATTAAGCAGATTGGAAAGGTTCCTGTTCATTGGTCAAACAGAATACAAACTACCTTCATAGTCATCTATTAGAAACCGTTACTTAGGGAGCTGTTTGTGAGAACTGTAATAAGTCAAATACTGTTATTCTCCTACGTCAACGAACTTCCAGACATTATCATCAATCTAACTAAATCTGCCTCTATGATCATTAAAAATCTAGATGATGCTCTGGTGAACCACATTTGATGTTAGTCCTCGTTTACAAGTCATTGTAAATAAAGACTTGAGGACCATGGGTAAAAAGCTTTACAATGGTATCGATATTATGAAGGGCTTTGATACAGTTGGATAAAATATGTTCACCACACTTTTCAAAGAAACAATGATGAGCACAAATCAAGAAGATTGAGCATAAACCCCAAGTCTGTATTTGAAAAGTGGCTTTCGCCCCTTGGTAAGATATTACAGGACTTCTAATAGTGCAGCATCACAGATGTTCGGTTTAGCAAAGAATGAAAGAATCGAAAAGTTCTACCGGATAGTTTCTTAGTAATTTAGGGGGTCACTTCATTATGATATATACCATACAAAGAGATTTACTCTTTTAATCTTTTAACTGGATTAGAATCTCTTAGGAGACACAGCGGACTTGTTCAAAAAGTAGGTTCGATCTAAAACCATATTGAGCACAGGATTTAAAATTAGATAATCAACTCTCGAAATCTGCTCATGTAATAAAAGGCGTTTACATCTCAGGATGTTTTATTTATAAAAAGATTAAACATTTACTGATGCATATTAGAAAAGAACTATAGCAGGTTTTCATTCTTCTCTCCACAAATCACAAATGTGAATCGAGTAATTTCATCATGGAAATAGAAATTATGTTTTCAGTCAGTCGTTTAAAATATGATACGCATCAAAACAACATTTACTCAGTGTTTAAAATGAAATATTCCCGCTTACACTTGGCAACCATGCTTTAAAGTTGTTACTTCATTTTGTATTATGATTTGACTATTTAAACATCAACTACATAATGTTTGCATGCTTTATATATCGAAATCGCTTACAATTTCTTCTATACACTTCCATTCACTTAACTCCTCTGAAGCCCTTCTTATGTTACTGACAGTCTGAAACCTGAACAAAGTAGGAGGGTTAAACATGGATTTAGCAACTCAGTCACATGAAAATTTACCTCACTTGAAAATATTAATTCTTCTATCCTTTTGGAATACAAATTACTTCAAAAGATATGATTTTAAGTAGTATATGTATTTTCAGTGTACAGCTAATAGTGTTTTATTTTCTGTTCGACATTTTCAAATAAGACTAATTGACTATATGATAAATAATTGCAAGCAACCAATATTCAGAAAATAAATATATAGTATTTGTTGAAACTCAAAATAAATTGTTTATAGGCGAAGGGTTCGTAAATTAACTAAAAACTTCTAAAAAACGTATTTGTCCCAGTTGTTATTTGAAATTCATTCAATCAATGTGAAAGATTACAAATATAATTCTTCTCAAAATATAAATTTTCATTCATAACTAGGTTTTGATTTCTATGTTAACAACAATACTGTTTCATTTCATGAAGTTTTTGGCACTGCCTTCATTTTCAGATTCAGCAAACTTATGATATTGTTTAGCACACTTACCCAGGATTCAGTTAATTTCTTATTTAAAGCGAATCACCTGGATCTATTTTAATCAATTTTTGTAAGTCAACTAGAATCCAAACCATAGTCTTATTGCTTTGGATATAGATGTGCGATTTTTTGGTTTCTCGTGACTTACAAAAGCTATTAACTTGTATAAATCTCAACTCTAAGTACCTAATACATTTACTTCATGTTACCAATTTCTAATAAAATTCACATCTTACATTCCATTGCTAATTACTATCAGATTTATAAAGAAAATGAAGTTTATTATTATTTTTTTGTTTTAGAATCATTTAAATCAATTATCTTTGATAAGTGTTTTGCTTTCCAAGTTTTTTTAATTATTATTGCTTTATGAAAGTCAATAATTCAAGTAATAATTCTTATATGATACATTTCTTTATAGAAACACATCCTTAGTATGATGATTGATTTTCTTATGATTGAAAATGGTTTTCAAATACAAGTAAACTTATTATTATTACTATTATTGTTATTATTATTCTGTATTACAAATAGTAATACAAAAAACAAAAATTATTACTGTGTGAAAAATATTTTTTTATTCATATTATCAATTGGTTAATTAGTCATTCATGTTACAGTTTTCTGGAAAAAAATATTTTTGCATTCATCTCAGTGATGTACATGAGTATATATATATATGCTCATATGTTCATAAATAGTCCTTATAAAAACTCTGTTAACAGTTTTATCCAACAGTATACATAAGTTTATATTACATATATATAGATATACATTTATTTACAATTATTTAAAAGTTAGAAAGAACTTGACACTTTTTGAATATGAGGAATAAAGAAGTTTTCTCTTATCAACAAGAACGTGATTATATTGATGATTGTTTACGTCATGTTGGAAGTAAACAGCATTTATTTTATGAAACACATGTTTGTACAATATTTCGTGTAATTGCTGGTCCATCAGAACATTTTTCTGAAACAAGAGCATTATATCTATTGCAAAAATATCGTCGTAAACGACAATCTCATTGTACTGGAAGTTTATTAGAAGATCGTATTAGTTTTGAACGAAATAAAGCATCTGGTAAGATACCATTTCGTCCATGGGTAACATATAAAGAAATTAAAGATATATACATAAATAGAGCTACTCCACATTTTTTTGTACTATGTATTGATTCTATGTATAGTTCTATGAGATATTATGAAATATATAAATGTAAGATTCCTGAAACAGCACAAACAGTTTGTGAGTATCTCAGACGAGCAATGAATGATACGGATAAAGTATTACGTGATTTAACATCTATTCGACAGGTTTATGTTGACGATGTGGGTCGTGTACGTTCAGTAAGTAATTTTGAAATTGAAAACAATCGTGAAACAATTTCAATACCTGAGAAGAATCAAAATTATTATGCACAACATACTATCAGTCCTGTTTATTTACCATCACCAGTTATGGTTTCACCAGTTAAACAAAGTTATAGTCCACCACTTAATGCCAGTGCTAAACGTCGAACTATTGATAGTTTAATTGATGTAACCTATCTCACTTACGATCCACACAGAGGTATAATAACGAACAGACATGGTCCAGTCTATTTATATTTGTATAGACCAAAAAGTCAAGGAACTTTGGGAAATAATTCCATTTACTCAGATAGACGAAGTAGCTATAGTTATGGAAATGAAGATCATCATAGAAGCTCACCATACAGGTATTAAAATAAATCAAACTATTAACTATTTCATATATTCATTCATAAAGAATAAACATTGTTTTCTCTCCTATACAATGGATTAAAATTACATATCGGTAATATTCTTTTGAAGAAAACAAATATCTAACAAATATTTCAAAGGTTTTGTATTTATTTCTCAAAGCTTACCTATCAAACTACAAACATTTTAAATCTTATATTGATTGACTTTCGATAGTTTTTCGATTACCTTTTTTCCTTTCATTACACTATTCACCTATACTCAAATATATATATAATTTCTTTCCTAAATAAAAAAACAAGCCACAGATACAATAATAATCAATAATATCGCTATTTCGATTTTGTTGTTGTTGGCTCATATCATTGACCATATGTATATAAATCTGTAAAAGCAAAAATCATTTTCAGATTGTAACCATGGTCAAATATTTCCTTTCAAAAACAAAAAAATATTAATACAGTATAGAATAAAAGTTATTTAAAAGTTTATAAGTAATGAAAATATAAAATTATTATTTATCAAACGAAATATACGAATGGTAGATAATTAATGTAAGCTGAATAGAAAACAAATGGTGTGAATATATATATATATATATATATATATATATATATATTTGAAAGACTGTTTCATGTTAACAGAATATACGTGAATATTACTTTTGATAATATTTTGTTACTAACTTCAAGACTACATTATCACTATTGTTTCCTTTTTTCTTTAAAAAACCCAATTAGTTGTACTTTTTTATTCAACAAAACATGTATGCTCATATAATTTATTAAACTACTGAAATACAACTAGATATTATGAACTGGATTATTGATTTACATCTTTTATTAATATATTATAAAAACACAATGTATGTTCATTTAAGTGGACATTTAAAAGATTTTGTTTTCTAAAAGAATGATTTATTGATAAATCATTTAATTATACATTTATTACAATTAATTGAAATAACAAGTGTTAAGAGTGAAATCAGACCTACAAGGTTACTTAAAATAATTAAGAATATGGATTTAATCATTTACTAATCAAATAGAGTTCTTAATCATATTAAAATGAATTCTTAATTGTTTTTTGTTCCTAGTCAATAGTTTTTTTTATTGCTCACAGCTTTATTGCTCATAGTTCATACTTTCTGATCAATAATTCATTATATGGAACAAGCAGTTTGGATTTTTATAGACCAACTGTAAGAGTCTGCATGAAACATAAACATCGTTATTCTTCTCCTACTTATAATTATTATAATGTGTTGACAATCATCTCAGAAAATCCATTAGTATTGTTATTAAGTAAAAACATACATTAGATTCACTCAAAGGATGATTTTCCAAGCAATCTTTCGATTCCTTTGAATCAGAGCATGCGATATAGACATTGTAAATAAGTATCTTTATTTTTTTATATAAAGCTAAGTATACGGTCGAAATTAAACTTAATAACGAGAAAATATAAGAACCATTTATGTAAATGCTAGACTAGGTGAATCATACAACTCAGAGCGCTTTCACTTCTCAGTAATACTAGATTTTTCACATTTAAAATATTCACAAGATTGTTTGCTTAAACAAAGGTTTATACCTAAAAGATTCCATGGATTTTTAAACTTATCTAAAATTTATTCGATTGTTTTTTATTATTAAATAGATATAAGCGGGATGGATCGTGGCTGGCAGTTGAAACCAGGTCTTGACTTTCACCCAATTTTGAACTAATTAGCTGAATGCAACTAAATCCTAGAGTTGATGTGCACTCCAGAACTCGAACCTAGTACCGTTCTTATCTACTTGGCTATTGAGTCCGAATAGTCAATAGCTTGTATAGTAGACTGACACTTGATTTGTTTTCCTTGGTTGCTTGAATCTCCCCATTGATATTGAGGAATTCAATTAATCAATCTCATTTGGTATATGTGCATATTGCGCGAACTACATCGATATTGTCATTAAATCACAGGGATTATAGGTAGAGATGTAAAGTGACTACTTGTGAAACACACGACGCGTGTTTTGTAACACTTGGGACTCGTCGTCTGGATGCATCTGCATGTGACACCTAGATTTTCACATTAAACCACCTTCGGAAATATCAAATTATGATGTGCCACTTAAATGCCTCTTACATTGTCCTCTCTGGGGCTTAAGATTGTTCATTAAAATATCTAATTTCTAACCATACTGAAAGTATGAAATGATATAATAATTAGCCTAACAGTATCAAAGTATTTCTGTAAACGTGAGAGTGAACATAACACTTAGCGTCTAATTTTGCCAATGTATATTCAATATTTTAGCTCCTAGTTCAGCTATGCCAAAACACAATCAGCTGTTCATAATCCATATTGTTTTTGTGACACTCGAATAAAGTTGACTACTAATCAATAAATTCATATGACCTAATTCCACAAAAACACTGCTTACATTCATATTCTTCATAGATAATTAAATTCACGTAGATTTTGAAAGATTTTAATTCAGCTCCTAGCATTGACAACTGACTATTAAAACAGTAAATAAATTTATTGATTCGAAGTTTCAAGAATAATAGTAAGATAAATATATCTCGTTATTTGTTCATTATCATGTCCTATACCTAATAACATTGAGATCATAGAAAGTTTTAAGTAAAAGTGTAGAAATTGAAAATTAAGCAACTAATTTCAGTCACTTTCCGTTGATTATGTTACTCAATACATTTTATCTGTTATTCGTGTTGAGCGGGAATGAGCGAAAGTGTCAGTAATTTACTTTCAGACATCCAGTAATGTTTAATTTACCGTTAACTAAGATAAATAGTGTCTGTTACACAAAACCAAATAACTTTACTCTTAGTTTGAATGTATTAGGCTTTATGAGTGTTTATATTCATTCATAACTGAATTATAACCAGTTTTCTGTTTGGCGAAATTCAATAAAACAGAACTATTAATTACTGATTCACGGACGATTATTTTGGATAAGATAATTCATTACATGAAGTTCAGTATCTAAATACTTATTCTCTTATTAATGCATTAACAGGTTCAAAAAACATTATTGTCCTATTAATCCTGTTCATGATAATTAGGAAGAAATGTCATTTTTCAATCATTTTGTTATTGAATTTCCAGAAGGATTTTATTCACCCTCTTGATCGAATCACAGATGCTTCAAAACATAAATGTATTAGCAACGTTGCAATAATAATATTTATATTTATGTGAATAAAGAAAAAAATAAATACATTTTTTGTCCTCAGATTTCCACAATGAAGAATAAGTCAACTTGGTACCAAATAATTTCATCATGTAACCCTGAGCAGTACCAAGCCCCCGAATGCCCTGGTACGGCCGAGGGTGGGGAGAGTCCGCTCTCCCTCTCGAAATGCTCTCACATGCTCACGCGTATACAGCCACTGCCAGGGAACTCCTACTCACTGCTTTCTCGTGGCATTACAGTTGTTTACGAAATTGAGAGGACGAAAAGCGAATATCCTGCGCTTTAACCGGGTTGGTGGATACGGAGAGTCCACCCACGGGAATTGAAAAACCCTAATTCCAAACCAATCGTGCACATGGGCTCCAGGATCCCGAGGGAACAAATGACGTATGAACTAATTATTAGTCACTGGCTACCATGAGACTGCATCTCCTCACGTTGCTCCACTGACTTGTGCATCAGACCTTTAGGTCGAAGGCTTCGGGTGTGTCCTCCTAAGAAAACCACCTGCTCCGGTTTGGACACCCGGGCAGTATCTCACCCCTCATATATCGAGTGATTTATGTGGCGCATATCTGTTTGGTGCCTCCTTGTACCAATGTTTATGTGTTTAAGTAAAAACTATAAAAATTGTAATCATTTAGATTTGTAAAGAAGTATTGCATAATCCAAGTTTTATGAGCTTTGGTACCTCATCATTTTAATACTTCTTTCTATATAAAATAAACCTGATGATCAGTTTTTCGATTATTTTTTCACCTTATTATTAACCTGTAGTTCTTTTATTTAAAAATATTATTTTCAATAATGCCTTTAGTTATTTATACGAAGGAACTTATAAAAATACTGTCGCTTAGAACCATCAATTAACATTTTAATGAAGGAAGAAAACCATTGGTTAATTTATAATAAATGTTTCATTCCACGATCATATATTGTCTATAATATGTATATATTTACGTAGGATTAATCGATGTAATTTATAGGCAGCTTTGTTCAACTTTTAGCGTCGATTTTACTACTGTTCGATTCTTCTATGAATCAGATTTATGGAAATAAGTATGAACTAAAACTTACGTTGTTATCAAAAAAGTGTCACAATGCACAATTTCGAAGACAAATATATTCTTCCTCTTCATCTAAAAGAATTAAAACTTTTAAACTTTGTGCCTTAACCAAAGTCTAATACTAAATAATCGATAACTATAAGACTGGTCAAAGGTATCTTTTATTTTTACTCATTAAGATAGATTGTAAGCCAGTACAGATCAACTTTTCTTTTCTTTCGTGATGGCTTCGATAACAATTGACATTTAATATTTTATGTAATTTTGGACTTTATGTGTAAGTAGGCTACCAAATGTGTCTGCTAAACTTATATTTCTACAGACTAGTCATTTTAGAAAACACCATCAGCTATTAAAAAGTTATAACATATACGGAAAGAGTTACATATTGTGATCTTAGATGACGTTTGTTCACTACAATTCTTCATGCAATAAAAGCTATGATCAAGGGAGTTCTGAAATAAATGTTTATTTTGTTTAAATGTACGTTTGTTCAATGAGAAGACCTGAAACTAACTTAGAAAAATCTTGATACAATTATCAAGTAAATGTCATGGTTTGGATCAAATTGTCTTCAATATGTACCATTAATTTACTTTGTTCTACATGTTAAGTATAAACGTAATTCGCTCCATTAGAAAAGTTCACATCCATTCATGTACTTACTGACGTATGGTATGAATGAAACAGATAACTACAGAATAAAGAGAATATAAATTTAAGGCTG